CTCACACCCCAGCCCCCCACTCACACCCCAGCCCCCTCCTCACACCCCAGCCCCCCGCTCACACCCCAGCCCCCCACTCACACCCCAGCCCCCTCCTCACACCCCAGCTCCCCGCTCACACCCCAGCTCCCCGCTCACACCCCAGCCCCCTCCTCACACCCCAGCTCCCCGCTCACACCCCAGCTCCCAGCTCTCACTCACACCCCAGCCCCCCGCTCACACCCCAGCCCCCCACTCACACCCCCAGACCCCGGCTGACACCCAGCCCCCACTAACACCCCAGCCCCCCGCTCACACCCCAGCCCCCTCCTCACACCTCAGCTCCCCGTTCACACCCCAGCCCCCTCCTCACACCCAGCCCCTCACTCACACCCCCAGACCCCGGCTAACACCCAGCCCCCCGCTTACACCCCAGCCCCCCGCTCACACCCCAGACCCTCCTCACACCCCAGCCCCCCGCTCACACCTCAGCCCCCTCCTCACACCCCAGCCCCTCCTCACACCCCAGCCCCCCGCTCACACACAGCTCCCCACTCAAACCCCCACACCCCCGCTCACACCCAGCCCCCCAATCACACCCCAGCCCCCTCCTCACACCCAGCCCCTCACTCACACCCAGCCCCCCTACTCTCACCCCAGCCCCATGCTCACACCCAGCTCCCCACTCAAACCCCCACACCCCCGCTCACACCCAGCCCCCCAATCACACCCCAGCCCCCTCCTCACACCCCCGCCCCCTCCTCACACCCAGCCCCCTCCTCACACCCCAGCCCCCCGCTCTCACCCCAGCCCCCTCCTCACACCCCAGCCCCCTGCCCTCCTGCTGCTGCCTGTTTTGGACTTGCAGGTTCCTGTCCATCTCACCATCCCCAGGTCCCTGAGTCCCTCCTGCAACAAACATCAGGTCCCTGCCAGCGCAGTGTGCAGGAGGCTGTGTCACCTGTCACTGCCCCTTCAGGGGTCAGTGCATACACGGCAGGTCCACCCAGGACAGAGGGGTGACCACTGTAGGCCATTTATAAAAACGCTACTTTTCCAATGTCAACCTCACCTGTACGTAGCTTTTTCTTTCAGAATGTTCTCCGAATTGACTAGGTTCTACCAAGGAGGAGTCGTGGGGAGAAATCTGGACACAGGCAAGCCCTCCGTGGACGGGTGCACCCCTGCCTGCCCTTGTTCATTTCCACATGACCAATACTGTCATTCCACTCACAGCCAGTGGCCCAGAGCTGCAGTTCAGAGCTCACAGGGCTTTCCCGGCCCTCAGAAGACGGGAAACAGAGACTACCAACCTCAGGCCTCCTTCTGCGGCCACTGACTGCAGCCCATCATCACTGAACTCACTCACGTCCAGCCACAAGCTGACCGTGGAGTCACAGGACTGACCTTGCAAACGGCCACACGACCACAGTGCTGAGCAGGTACCCAGTAACAGTACTCAGTATGCAGTCACAGTGCTGACCACCCAGTCACAGTACTCAATATACAGTCACAGTACTGACCACCTAGCCACAGTATTTAACATCTACTCACATTCTGAGCAGGTACCCAGTCACAGTACTGACCACCCAGTCACAGTACTCAACATCCAGTCACAGTGCTGACCACCCAGTCACAGTACTCAAAATGCAGTCACAATACTGACCACCCAGTCACAGTACTCAAAATGCAGTCCCAGTACTGACCACCCAGTCACAGTACTCAAAATGCAGTCACAGTACTGACCACCCAGTCATAGTACTCAATATGCAGTCAATGCTGACCACCCAGTCATAGTATTCAACATCCAGTCACAAAACTGACCACCTAGTCACAGTACTCAACATCCAGTCACAGTACTGACCACCCAGTCACAGTATTTAACATCTACTCACATTCTGAGCAGGTACCCAGTCACAGTACTCAGTATGCAGTCCCAGTACTGACCACCCAGTCACAGTACTCAACATCCAGTCACAGTACTCAACATCCAGTCCCAGTACTGACCACCTAGTCACAGTACTCAATATGCAGTCAGTGCTGACCACCCAGTCATAGTATTCAACATCCAGTCACAAAACTGACCACCTAGTCACAGTACTCAACATCCAGTCACAGTACTGACCACCTAGTCACAGTACTCAACATCCAGTCACAGTACTGACCACCTAGTCACAGTACTCAACATCCAGTCACAGTGATGACCACCCAGTCACAGTACTCAACATCCAGTCACAGTACTGACCACCTAGTCACAGTACTCAATATCCAGTCACAGTGCTGACCACCTAGTCACAGTACTCAATATCCAGTCACAGTGCTGACCACCCAGTCACAGTACTCAACATCCAGTCACAGTGATGACCACCCAGTCACAGTACTGACCACCCAGTCCCAGTACTCAACATCCAGTAACAGTGTTGACCACCCAGTCACAGTACTCAACATCCAGTAACAGTGCTGACCACCCAGTCACAGTATTCAATATGCAGTCACAGTGCTGACCACCCAGTCACAGTACTGACCACCTAGTCACAGTATTCAACATCCAGTCACATTCTGAGCAGGTACCCAGTCACAGTACTGACCACCCAGTCACAGTACTGACCACCCAGTCACAGTATTCAACATCCAGTGACAGTGCTGACCACCCAGTCACAGTACTCAATATGCAGTCACAGTGCTGACCACCCAGTCACAGAACTCAATATGCAGTCACAGTACTGACCACCCAGTCACAGTACTGACCACCCAGTCACAGTATTCAACATCCAGTCACAGTGCTGACCACACAGTGACAGTACTCAATATGCAGTCACAGTGTTGACCACCAGTCACAGTACTCAATATGCAGTCACAGTACTGAACACTTAGTCACAGTGCTGAGCAGGTACGCAGTCACAGTACTGACCACCCAGTCACAGTACTGACCACCTAGTCACAGTATTCAACATCCAGTCACATTCTGAGCAGGTACCCAGTCAGAGTACTGACCACCCAGTCACAGTATTCAACATCCAGTCACAGTGATGACCACCCAGTCACAGTACTGACCACCCAGTCACAGTACTCAACATCCAGTAACAGTGCTGACCACCCAGTCACAGTACTCAACATCCAGTCACAGTGATGACCACCCAGTCACAGTACTGACCACCCAGTCACAGTACTCAACATCCAGTAACAGTGCTGACCACCCAGTCACAGTACTCAACATCCAGTCACAGTGATGACCACCCAGTCACAGTACTGACCACCCAGTCCCAGTACTCAACATCCAGTAACATTGTTGACCACCCAGTCACAGTACTCAACATCCAGTCACAGTGCTGACCACCCAGTCACAGTACTGACCACCCAGTCACAGTACTCAACATCCAGTCACAGTGCTGACCACCCAGTCACAGTATTCAATATGCAGTCACATTCTGAGCAGGTACCCAGTCACAGTACTGACCACCCAGTCACAGTACTCAATATGCAGTCACAGTACTGACCACCCAGTCACAGTACTGACCACCCAGTCACAGTACTCAATATGCGGTCACAGTGCTGACCACCTAGTCACAGTATTCAACATCCAGTCACAGTGCTGACAACCTAGTCACAGTGCCCAACATCCAGTCACAGTGATGACCACCCAGTCACAGTATTCAACATCCAGTAACAGTACTCAATATGCAGTCACAGCACTGAACACTTAGTCACAGTGCTGAGCAGGTACGCAGTCACAGTACTGACAACCCAGTCACAGTACTGACCACCTAGTCACAGTATTCAACATCCAGTCACATTCTGAGAAGGTACCCTGTCATAGTACTGACCACCCAGTCACATTACTCAATATGCATTCACAGTACTTACCACCCAGTCCTGACCACCCAGTCACAGTATTCAACATCCAGTAACAGTGCTGACCACCCAGTCACAGTATTCAACATCCAGTAACAGTGCTGACCACCCAGTCACAGTACTCAATATGCAGTCACAGTACTGAACACCTAGTCACAGTGCTGAGCAGGTACGCAGTCACAGTACTGACAACCCAGTCACAGTACTGACCACCTAGTCACAGTATTCAACATCCAGTCACATTCTGAGAAGGTACCCAGTCACAGTACTGATCACCCAGTGACAGTACTCAATATGCAGTCACAGTGCTGACCACCCAGTCACAGTACTCAATATGCAGTCACAGTGCTGACCACCCAGTCACAGTACTCAATATGCAGTCACAGTACTGACCACCCAGTCACAGTACTGACCACCCAGTCACAGTACTCAATATGCGGTCACAGTGCTGACCACCTAGTCACAGTATTCAACATCCAGTCACAGTGCTGACAACCTAGTCACAGTGCCCAACATCCAGTCACAGTGATGACCACCCAGTCACAGTACTGACCACCCAGTCACAGTACTCAATATGCAGTCACAGTGCTGACCACCAGTCACAGTACTCAATATGCAGTCACAGTACTGAACACTTAGTCACAGTGCTGAGCAGGTACGCAGTCACAGTACTGACCACCCAGTCACAGTACTAACCACCCAGTCACAGTACTGACCACCCAGTCACAGTATTCAACATCCAGTCACAGTGCTGACCACCAGTCACAGTACTCAATATGCAGTCACAGTACTGACCACCCAGTCACAGTACTCAATATGTGGTCACAGTGCTGACCACCTAGTCACAGTATTTATTCAACACCCACAGTACTGACCACCAGTCACAGTACCAATCCCCTAGTCACAATGCTGACCACACAGTCCCAGTACTCAACACCCAGTCTCAGCACTGAACTCCAGTCTCCATGCTAAAGACATCAGGTTTATGGCTTCTCTTTAGCGTACTGAACGTATCAGTAGTACTTTTTCCTCAGTATTTAAAGTCGGATCACGCTAACGGATTAGAAAGGCACTTAAATGTGAAGCCTTTGTGATCAGTGCTGATCAGACAATTTTGATTTCTGTACTCTTCCTCTGCAGACCAGCAACAGGACCCCAGGCAGAGGTACCTCGCTTCTGGATGAAGACTCTGAGCAGCGGGCTGGCGCTCGAGACCGCCTTGCAGAAGTTGTCGTCGTTGTTGATGGGCAGCAGGTCCCCGTGCACGTCCGCGTAGCCGATGGTCACCTCCGCGCTGGAGATGCGGTGGGTGTGCACGACCAACTGGTAGAAGTCTTCAAACTTCCCAGGCTTGTGACGATCCAAGGAGAACCTTCGGAATTCAGCCCCAAACTGTAAGGCAGGAGACGGCAAATAAGCACCGGAGAACCCCACCAGAGAGGGCACCCAGTCCACGCTGCACGCGGGCCTGCCGCCTCACCGGCCACAGTGCCTGTGCTCCGGGGCACCTCCCTCACCAGCACTGACTCAGCCGGAGGACGCACAGGTCAAGCTTCGCAGGAAAAAGCAGCTAAAGGTCAGTTATACAGCGGTGGGGTCACCTCCCGTGAGGCCCCTGCGCAGGCCTCAGAAAACCAGGAGCAGGAGGGAAGCAGGGGTCATGAAACCGCGGACTTTTCCCAAGGGCGAGGCAGGAAATCTCGTCTGTCCTGCATGTTCACAGGCCCAGTGGCAACATCTCAAGGCACCGGCAGTGGAGGTGAAACTGAAGAGATGCAGGAACCTGGCTTCCCAAATCCAGAGGAGACAGGCTGGGGGCACGGGGCGCTGGTCTCTGACCCTGCCACAGCTCTGGGAAACGCCCAGGGGCCATGGAGCTGCCTACAGGACTATGGGCCTGACTCCCCGCCCAGGACACCCAGTCACCCAGGACACCAGGACACCCAGGGACCCAGGACAGGGCCTCTGACCACCTGGACATGCTGCTGTCCCTCAGGGTCTGTGCTCTTCAACAGACTGGAAACCAGGTATACTGGATCCAAAATAAACCAAATTACATCTCTGGCATTCACAAAAGACTTCCAGGCATCAAGGGCCAATCATCTCAGATCGTGAGGGTCTGTGTCGGATTCACCTGAGAATTCTGGGACACGGCCCGAGGGCCGACATCTGTAACAAGTTAGAAGTGGGCGGTGGCCTGAGCCACATTCGGGCTCAGCCTCAGACCTCAACTTCCAGAGAGCCAACGTGAAGACAGGTTTGTGAGAACCACTCTCCCTTCTCAGCTCCCTCCCAAAGGGCATCTCCTGCAGGTCTGCAACAGCCAAAGCCAAGCTTTCAACTCACCCTTTGCTTCCCCAGGCACCCAACCAGGGGACGGCCTGAAATACTGGTTTGAGAAAAGTCACCCTCACGGCTCTAGAACCCGCCTCTGGGGGTTCCAGGGCAGCTGTGCGAGGCGGGCGGGGAAGGCCCCCGCTCCACCCCAGCTGCTGCCAGGGGTCAGACCAAGCCCTGGAGCTCTGCTCCCATCACTCAGAGGCAAGGGTTAGGGTTAGGGTTCCATGACCCCAGTGCCCCACCAGCGACACAGCATGTGGACAACGAAGCCTCTTCCACACACTGGAAGACAAAGCAGGAAAAGTCCACAGTGTACGTCGTGTGAGTTCTTTCAGATTCTGTGATCCAGCGAAATCAGGCAGGGTGTGCTCAGGGACAAGCCGCGTCCTGCTCCACACAGCTCGTCTGTGCTGATTTCCGAAGCAGCTCGTTTGTGTTAGCACGCACTCTTCTGCTGAAGAGGGCTCCTGACTTTCACATGCAGTCCCAGGCCCCCCCACCAGACAAGTGGGCCCCCTCCCTGTCCCATGTGGCTGCCCCCACCCCCCAGGAGGCAGAGGACACTAGCCCCAGGATGCCCCATCTTAACTGCACTTAGCAACACATCCCGATTTACTTCTCAGTGCTTTTAAGTTCCCTCAAAATGTCTTATGTCAGTTCGGGAAGAAAACTGAATTCAGATTTTTTTCTGAGGAAACAAGTGTGGTTTGTGTTTGATAATGAGACTTTCCACTTCGTATGTCGAATGAGCTCCAAAGTTTCAACAGAGATCAGAAATGTGATATAATCGATTTTATTCAAAAACCAAATCAATATTTTTATTTCCCCATTTTACAGACAGATCAAAGGTGCTGCCAAACGAAGAAATTACTAGGTGCAACTCATTATCATGTAATTCTTGTTTTCAGCCTTCTTAGCAAAAATCAAAAAGGTAAATGGCGCTAATGACCAGGCAATAAGCCCTCAGTGATGGCCTTTCTATGTTTTGCTTTTGACAGAACTGAAAGTTGCCCAATTGCATGTCAGCTAACAGCTTCTCAGAGCAACTGCAGTGAGGAACAACTCTAGGAGTACCTACTTTTGCACCTTACCTAACGCGTGCTCTAAGGACTGGGAGGTGCCCCCAACTCCTGCTACTTCCGTTGATGTAAACACGGTGAGTGGGAAGGAGTGGGACACGGATGCCACCTCCTTCTCACCTAATAACAGGCTCTTTGCACTAAATGGAGGATTTTTAAAGTGTTTACCTTGAAAGGTTAATAATTATTATCAAATTCTGCAATAACATATCATTTGTAATTTGATAATTATAATGGCTCAAGCTGGAAATTTGTATCGTAAAAATCTATTCATTTTATTTAAAAGTGTGACAGAATACATGTAACATAAAAAATGGCCAAGATGGTGAATTTTATTTATTTGAAAGGCAGAGTTACACAGAGAGACAGAGAGATCTTCCAACCACTAGTTCGCTCTCCAGATCTCTCCAAATGGCTGCAACAGCCAGAGTTGGGCCAGGATGAAGCCAGGAGCCCAGAGCTCCATCCAGGTCTCCCATGTGGGTGCAGGGGCCCAAGCACTTGGGCCATCTTCCACTGCTTTCCCAGGCTCATCAGCAGGGAGCTGGATGGGAAGTGGAGTGGCATGATTCCAGTGTATGGTGGTACAGTAGGCCTCTCTCTCTCTCTCTCTCCCTCTTCTCTCTGTGTAACTCTTTCAAGCAAAATAAATAAATCTTTAAAAAAATAAAAAAGAAGCAGTGTGTGCCATTCCGTGAGTACAAAGGCGGAGTTGGTAGATGTGTCCAGGCCAAGCAATGGGGTGGACACAAGGTCAGTGGCCCAAAGGAAGTGCTGAGTTTCTGTTGCACATGCTTAAAAATGCAGACAGTAATGGGAGCTGAAGGTTTTGCATGTAGATTCCCTGGTCATTGACCACACGCAGGTGAACAAGGCCCCCAAGACGCGCCGCAGACCTACAGAGCCCATGGTCAGATCAGCCCGCACGTGAGCTCCCCCACTGCCACATGGAGATGATCCTCACTGCAAAGGAACAAACTGAGAGGAGAGGAGGAGGTGCAGAAGAAAGACGTCTCAAAGGAAACTGAAGCAAAAGCTTATGGCTCGGGAATAAACTCGATAAATCAATAAAATCAAAAGGAAAAACCTGAGAAGTAATTCTAACAAACAGAATGTTATAGCCACAAGAAAAAAACTTTTAAAATTTCTGACACGTGAATAAAAGTTTTAACATCAATTTATATACATATTCTTGATGCAGAGCAAAGATGCAGATAATTAAGCATAAATTATTAGGACAGAAATCATTGAGAGTAACAAGAAGAAGAAATCACATGGCCGGCGCCGCGGCTCACTAGGCTAATCCTCCACCTTGCAGCGCCAGCACACCGGGTTCTAGTCCTGGTCAGGGCACCGGATTCTGTCCCGGTTGCCCCTCTTCCAGGCCAGCTCTCTGCTGTGGCCAGGGAGTGCAGTGGAGGATGGCCCGAGTGCTTGGGCCCTGCACCCCATGGGAGACCAGGAAAAGCACCTGGCTCCTGCCATTGGATCAGCGCAGTGCACCGGCCGCAGCGTGCTGGCCGTGCCAGCCATTGGAGGGTGAACCAACGGCAACGGAAGACCTTTCTCTCTGTCTCTCTCTCTCACTGTCCACTCTGCCTGTCAAAAAATTAAAAAAGAAAAAAGAAATCACAGAGAAGAAAGAACACTGTAAAATTCTGATCATTAAGGGGCTGGCATTGTGGCACAGCAGCATCCCACATCAGCGCCGGTGTGAGTCCCAGATACTCCCTTCCCATCCAGCTCCCTGCCAGGGCGCCTGGGAAGGCAGCAGAAGAGGGCCCAAGTGCCTGGGCCCCTGCACCCACACAGGAGACCTGGATGGAGCTCTTGGCTCCTGGCTTCAGCCTGGCCTACCCCAGTCACTGCAGCCATCTGGGGAGTAAACCTGCAGTTGCAAGATCGATCAATCAATCAGTGTGTGTGTGTGTGTGTGTGTGTGTGTCACTCTTTCAAATAGATAAAATCTTTATTTTGAAAAACTGGTAAACAAAGGGAAGGAATCGAGCTTTTAAAAAAAGTCTAAGAGCATTTGTTATTGGAAAAATCGGACGTACACTCCTTTTCTAAAGCATCAGCTAGATAAACTGCCCACTGCTATTTTGGTGACAATATTTATGTACTTTGCAGCTGACCCCAACTAGTATTCCTGCAACAGGCTAAGAAAAATTGTAGGGTGGGGGAGTCTTGCCTTCTAAGGTTCTTAAAAATGATGACCAATATAAAATATCAAGGCCAATATACAAAAGTATGGTGTATCAACCTCTAAACGAAAATCATTTTTATTCTCTTATTAGGCAATCAAACTTCCTTATACTTCAGGCAGCACACAATGGTGTGTCAGCACATCAGTCTATCATCTTCGTCTCATCATTTCTCTCCTCTTTGCCTTTCCGCCTCGCCCATACTCAGGCTGAGAGGATGCTGGGAGGAAGGGGCAGGGGGAGAAGCCTGGGTCCTGGGAGCACAGCCCTCCGGGAGGGATGAGGACCTCTCCCAGGAGTGAGTGAGCTATCCCAGGGCCTGCACGCGTCCGCCTGCTCTGTCCGCCTGCTCTGTCCCTCCACCTGGAGGCCAGGCTCCACCAGAAGCCAGGCTCCACGACCTAGAGTGCTCAGCCTCCGGCACCACAGCCAAAACAAGCCCTTTCTCCATGAATTACTCTGCTGTTGTAGCAACAGAAAACGGGCTCAGGCCGTCCCTGCTAACTGACCCCACAGTTTTGGCTCTGTCTGTTCAGGATGAGGGGAGAGCGCTGGGAAGTGCTTACTGAACGAACAACGCTTGGAACTGGTTGCTACAACACGGGGCACCACTGTGCAAGCAGCAAAGGCACAAAAACCGGTCAAAACCCAAGACCGCTAACAGCCAGTCGCTGTTTAAGAATTGCTCTCAATCGTCTCCACAAAAGCGATGTCTTTACTGCCAAAAATAATCAGAATCCATCTTGGGGTGGCACTTGCTGCAGCAGTCACGATGTCACGTGGTACACCTGCATCACAGTGTTGAGGTTCGAATCCCACGTCCGCTCCCAATGCCAGCTTCCTGCTAATGCA